TGTTGTAATACATAGTGCTGTCTTCCAGCCAGTTATTCATATTACCAGATACATGCATGTCAAATTAGAAGAAGGAAGAAAAAAAGAAAGGAATGTACAAGAATTTAAGAAGAGAAAATGTATAGACAATTTTAAGAAGGAGACAAAACAAATTAAAGCATTAACTGATTCTTTCCATAGGCCAGCAGAAGTGCACAGTACAGTTGTCCAAAGCATCCTACTTGCATACACAGATAAATCTCTTTCCCCCACTCCCTCTCCTGTCATCCTTCTCAACTCAATTGCTCTTTCATTTTGAATAACTTCATTTTCTTTTTTGAGTATCTATTGTACTCTTCAGATTCCATTTTTTCCCTTTTAGGTTCTCACACTAAAGAGATAATGCTATGTATGCACATGTGGCTCTGATTTATTTGATTTAGAAGTGTGTTCTGTGGTTGAATCCATTATTGACAAAAGACTCTAATTTATACTGCTTTATAGCTGAATAATACTCCATTGTGTAAAAATGCCACATCCTCTATCTATTCTTCAGCTGATAGGCATCTGGGTTGTTTCCAGGAGAGAGAACTGAGCGAAACAATGCCTTTCACAATAACATCCAAAAACATGAAACACTTAGGAATTAATCTCACAAGTGATATAAAATATTCATGCAGTGAAAACTATGGTACTCTCAGAAAAGAGATTGAAGAGGATTTGAGAAAATGGAAAGATATTGCATGCTTCTGGATAGGGAGAACCAACATTGTGAAAATAGCCATACTCCTAAAATTGCTATACAGATTCAATGCAATCCCAATTAAATTATCATTAATATACCTCGCAGAGATAGAGAAAACTTTCCTCAAATTCATTTGGAACAACAAGAGACCCAGAATATAAAAAACAATCCTGGGAAACAAACGAAAGGCAAGAGGAATCAAAATCCCTGACATGAAATTATAGTATAAAGCCACTATGATACAATTAGAATGTCACTGACATAGAGACAGACAAACCTGAGGATCAATGGAATAGATTAGAAGATGCAGACACAACTACAAACACACTCATTCACAGTATCTTTGATAAAGGGGCCAAACATGCTCACTGGAAGAAAAGTAACCTCTTTAAAAAATGGTGCTGGAAAAACAGGTTTTCCACATGCTAAAACCAGACCCATGCCTATCACCATGAAAAAAGCTACAGTCAAAATGCATCAAAGATTTAAATACTGAAACAGAAACACTAAATCTTCTGGAGGAAAATATAGGTAGAAATCTTAAAGACATAAGTGTACATAGTGAGTTCATGATCGAAAACCAAACTGCACAGGAAATACTTCCAACATAGGCTGGGTGTGGTGGCACATGTCTGTAATTCCAGCAATTATGAGGCTGTAAATAGGAGGATCACTATGAGTCCAATCTATTCAGTGAGACCCTATAGACTCTGTAGACTGTGTACTTAAAAAAAAAAGGAAATACTTCAAAGAATCACAAACTGGGATCTGGGCCAGGGAGATGTCTCAGTAGAATAAGCGCTTGCCTGGCAAGAGTACGGGCCTGAGTTCAGCCCCCTTTCTGAAAACCAAAAAAACCAAAAAACTGGGATCTCACCTTTTTGGAAAGTTTCTGCATTTCAAAGCAAATTTCCAACAGAATAAAAGGAAACCAATAAACTCAGAAAAAAATTACAGCCAACTGCCCCTCTGACAAAGGCCTTCTATCTATAACATCAAAGAATTAAAAAAAAAATCTGATCCCCCAAATTCAAAAACCTAATAAAAAATGGGCATATGAGATGAATATATAATTCTCCAATTAAGAAATACATTTGCAAATAAACATATAAAAATGTTCAACACCATTTTCATTTGAGAAATTTAAATTAAAACAACACTGAGATTACATCTTGCCCCAGAAAGAATGTCAAAAATCAAGAAGTCAGCCAATACTGGAGAGGATTGTAGGGAAAAGGGAACACTTGTGCACTGCTGGTGGGAGTACAGACTGGTACAACCCCCATGGAAATCGATGTGGAGTTTCTTTAGAAAACTAGGATTGCAGATCCCATTCATGCCAGATATTTCCTTCCTGGATATTTTTCCAGAACAACCGAAATCATCATACCACAGTGATATATGTGCACTCATATTTATAGTATTTAATTTCTAATCTCTGGAATCTATTGTTATGTTTCTTTAAATACAAAATAACTTTGCATATGTGATGACATTAAGTACCTTGAGTTGGAAGGAATGCTATCTATTACACATGTGGGCCCAAATTGTCACTTGGTCACTGAAATCAAAGAAGAGGGCTAGGGAGTTAGATCAGTGGTATAAGTGCTTGGCTGGCAAGTGAAGGTCCTGAGTTCGATCCCTTAAAAAAAAAAACAAAAAACTTTCACTCTAATGGTAATTTCTTTTGCTTTTCAAAGACTTTATACTATGAGACAATCCCAGTTGTAGATTATTTGTAGTATCTCCTTGTGATCAGAATTGTGTTCATGAAATCTTTGCCTCTACGTGTCTTTAATCTCCCAGCAGATTTAGTCTTTCAGTTTTATATTTTTTAAAATTATTTTTAGGGAAGGGTGTACAGGTTGTTCAGGGTCTTACTACTAGATCAGAAAGTTAGTGATTTGCTTGTTTACAGCCTCCCAAGAGCTGGGATTAAAGGCACACATCACCATACCCAGTCTCAATTGCTGTCTCGGCTCACACTGGGGATAGGGACAGCATGGCAGTCCTGGGGATCAAACCCCCAGTCCCTGCCCCTGCTTGCAGGCACTTTAATCTGCTGAGCTATTTGGCTGACCTTTAGCCTTTCAGTTTTAATGTTTAGAACTATGTTCTGTTTAGTGCATGATGAGAGAAATCAGTCTAGTTTTCCTCCCAGCACATGGGAAGCTAGTTTTTCCAGCATCATTTATTAAAGAGGTTATTTTTCTTCCAGTGAATATGTTTGGCTTCTCTGTCAGAAATAAGGTGGCTGAGTGTGTTTGGAGTTGTTTCAGGATTTTTCTAATCTTATAGAAGCACAGTTTGTAAGACCTAAATCTTGGGCACAACCCAAAAGCCCATCAAACAAGGAATGCAAAAAAGTGATGTATTATTTTTATATACAATGCAGTCCTACTCAGCCATAAAGAACTATAAACTTGAGACTTTTCTAGTAAAATTAACACATTTTAAGATCATGTTCTTAAGTGAAATAAACGTATGGTCTTAAGGTATGTTAATTTTACTAGTGTTGTCTCAAGTTTATAATTAATTTCTAATAAAACTAACACATCTTAACACCATACTCAAGTGAAATAAAGTGGCCACATATGTGAAAACATCACCATTCTCTGTTGTGAGAAACGAAAAGTGTAAATAAGGACCAAAGTGTATAATGTTTATTGTGAACCAGGAAGAAATGATTTAAAAGAAAGGGGAATGGAGAGAGACAAAGTGTTAAAAGAAAGATAAAATGAAAACCTCTGTAAATAAGGAGGGGAAGAGCCGTTGAAGGGAGAGGAGGGAATTGGGAAAAAAGAAGTATCAAAATCTGTCATATACAGGTACAAATTCTCTATGATGAGTATAATCATTATTTATGTTTAAATGTAACAACCAACTTAATAAAAAAAGTTCCAAAAATAAAATCTAAGAAACTTCCACATGTATGGTCCCAGAAAACATGGCCACATAATAATGGTCAAGAACCAGGCATGGTGGGGCATGCCTCTAATCTCAGTACTCAGGAGGCTGAGGCAAGAGATTTGTTGAGAGTTCAAGGCCAGACTAGGCTACATTGTGAGTGTAAGGCCAGTCTGAACAACATAGCAACATCCTGTCTCAAGAAAAAAAAAAAAAAAAGGGCCGGCCAAATAGCTCAGTGGATTAAAGTACCTGCTTAGGCATAGTGCAGTGGCTGGGTTTTAATCCCAAGAGTGCTGTGCCGGCCTCGCCCCTGGGGCCCCTGAGAACGCCATTGAGACTGGGCATGGTGGTGGACACCTGTAATCCCTGCTCTTGGGAGGCTGAACACAGGCAGTTCACTACAAGTCTGATCTACTTAGTGAGACTCTGTAGACCTTGCAGACCCAGTACCAAAAATACAAAAAAAAAAAAAAAAGAAAAAAGATAAGTGAAATTGGTGGTTTTAGCTGGAGCAAAGTATCCATAAGACAAGAACTGTGAGTGTTTGCTAGACGGTGGGAGAGGCAAGGGACCAGATCTCCCTATGGACACTCAGAAGGGCACACTACTCTGCTGACACACTGAAATTGAGCTTGATGAGACTTGTGATACTTAGAATTGCAACAGTTGATTAAGCCACTAAATTAGAGAAATTCATTACTATAGAACACTATAGTATAGAACAACAGAACACTAACATCGATAGTCAATACTACAAACAAATATGTTAAAAATAACTCTTTCTAAGGTATTGATAAGCATATATTAGCATATTGCTTGTTTCTCAATTCCTCAAATGTAGTGTATCTTCACTTTTTGCTGTTTCTAGTATTTTTATAAACGCTTTGTAAGTATAAGAAGCCTATTAGCATAATTCAATGTTATAAAATAGTTTTCACAATATGACACACTAAAATATCCATTTTATGCAAAGAAAATATTGCTACTTCCAAATTTCTATATTTTTTAAGTCACAGCATTTAATAAAATTCAAAAAACCACGTTTCCAAAATAATTTTTTTGTTCACTTATTAAAATCTTTTCATATAATTTTCATTTGTAACATAAAATATTAAAATTCTTTATCCATCACTGACATCAGAGATAATTGAATTAATAATGTAACTACTATAAATTATACACTACAAAGATGTGTTGTCTACATGTTAAAATTATGCAAATTGGTTATTTTTTCTTGTTAGGTCTAATCATATTACCATGTCAGAAAATGAAGCTAAGTTAATTAAAAACTTTATGGAATACATAAATGTGTATTTTAAATATGAGGACTGAATGAAATTGCCTTTATTTACAATTTTTCTCATCCTAAATAATTTTTGTCAGTGCAAATATTGTGCAGGATATATTTAAGCCTTTTCTTAAATGCAAAACTAAGTAATTTATTTTGATTTTTTGATCATTTTTCCTTGTAAAATTAAAATCCACTGATTTCTACATCTGTGCAATTCTGTAATTAGAAAGATCCAGAGGACGCACAAGCATTCTGATTCAAACCTTGCATTCTGGAAAATTATTTTCTGAAGTACAAAAGGTACCACAATGAAACTTCGAAATGTAAATATAGAATGGCCAATGTAGTTGTTGGACATTTATGTTCTTAAAGTAGAACACTAATTATAAGCACCCTTTACAAATTAAACTACCTTTTCCTCACCCAGACAGGAGGAAATAAGCAGGCTTTTGAGATAGCTGCAGTTTACAGAAGTTTGCTCTGGTTTTGCTTGGTGAGTGCTGCTCTTACCTATCCGCTAAGCCACTTACATGGGGGGTGGGGGAAGGTCCTGAGGGAAAGCAGCACTTACAACTGACTTCCAGTAAAATCAGTGGTGGAAGCCTGCCTTATCTGAGAGGAAGTAAAAGAATCTAACAGTGGTTTAAGTGGAAACTCTTAAGTAAAAAACAAATTCAGGTTTTAATTATTCTGCTTCAATATCTAATGAGGCACTTGCATGTATTGCAGATATTTTTAATATGCTAGGACAAGTCTTCTTTCCACACCCTGCACTCTCACATATGGCATTATCTATGCAGGATGGGTGTTCACTAAATGCTTGAGAAAATGAATTAGGCACGAGAGTACTTAATTCCAAGCTTGGAGAATGATTAAAGAAACAACTTTCTCCTTACCACAGTCAGCCACACCGTCCCTTCTGGATCCTATCACTTCATTTCCATATCTGTCAACACACCAGCACTGCCCAATGCTTCCATGGCACTGTGTTGGCTTGTAGTAACCATCTTCATCACAGAGGGGGATGTATTGTGCTGGGAAGCAAACACACAAGCACACACAAACACACATATTTTATGAGTGAGTTGAGCACATTTCAATTGGTATACAATAGACATCAATGTATGCAAGACACACATGTGTGGCTGTCCAATCATCTTTCCCTTTATCCTAGTAATACCTGGAGAAGAAAACAAGACGTTCTCCATGGCAATGGAATTGATATCGCCATAAGGAACTGTTTCCATTTAGTGAGTTCTTACGATGAATTAAGTAAAAGAGTATTCTAAATTTGTCATTCTTGAAAGTAGATTTTCCAGAGTTGTGATCAGAATTAAGATTTGATTAATAGTATGCTTATATCAAACAATTTGGCAACTTTATTTATTTAATTTTTTTTTTTTTTTTTTTTTTTTTTGTGGCACCAGGGATTTCACTCAGGACCTTGTGCTTGCCAGGCAAGCACTTATTCTACTGAGCTACCTCTTCAGCCCAACTTTTTGTTTTCATGCTAATATTTTTATTTATGTTTTAAGATCTATTAAATTTCAGTTTCCTCCCAATTCAATGCTGCTTCATCTCATTGCACACTGCTTATTTTAACAGGACTCCTTCCTTCAACCTTTCACTTTAAAAATGACATAAGTGTGACCCCAAAATGAAGGTTCCTTTAACTGGGGTAGGTATGCTGTAAGTCCTCCATAATGCACATGTATTCGAGTGTGTGTGTGTGTGTGTGTGTATGCGTGTGTGTGCGCTCACCCAACCTTATGTGCATGTTTATGTAGATTATCTTTGGAAAATTTCATCTCTACCATGTGCTAATCTGAACATTTAGAATATTTAGGTTCATATGACTGACACTGTTGCATAAACCCTTGATAGTGGAAACATAGTCTAGTGGAATGAGTGAGAAAGATAGCTAATTAATCACTTTTATATGTATAATATTTCACACAGTATATACTACTTTGTTAATTAAAACTATTTAACTAGAAATATACAAGTTCAGCCATATCCTTCAAAACATACTCCAACACTAGTATGAAAATTTTAGGAGACTAATTATTTCTGATCTTTTCTGATGTATTTTCTGTGATGATAAATGTCACAGTTACTTGATAAGAGAAAAAATCAAATAAATGAATAAAATATGCAACTTTGTGGACATAATTTTGTTCTTCCCAAGTCTCAAAATTCTGATAGAGAACTGATTTCTTTTAAAAATTGTAATTCCTGTGTGAGATGTGAGCTAGTCATCTTTCAATGAGATTGATAAAATATTACCAATAGGGACAAATTGTGAATATCTACTATGGATATATACCATCAAACCAAGAAAGAAATCAATTTACTAATACCTACATATTTAAAATAACAAGATTTTACACAAAATTATCATTTATCTTTTGTGTCAGTACATTGTGTAAATGAAAAAGTACACCATCAATAATTACTATTGTGCTTCAGAATCAACAAAAACAAGTGGGAACATGCAGCATGCTATCTTACATTATAGCTGATCAATTTTCAGATATATACCTTCATCACACCCAAATTAGAAGAAATATTTGAGACATTCAATAACTAAAAATTATTTTAAGTTATATGTTACCTTTGGGAAGATTGATGATTTATGAAAAGCATGAGCTATCATTATGAATTTAAGAACGTAAAATTATTTGAAAGCATTTATTCAAAACTTATGTTGACAAGACTAAACAATAACCAAATAAAATAGTGTTTTGATGATCTGTTAATAATCAAACAGTCACATGTTCCAAGGTTTGAGGTGATCTTCCAATTATCTACCTATCCATCTGTCCATATAAATTGTATCTTCTTGATGAAAGAAAGTAGCAAGAATGATTAGAGTAAAAAAATACAACAAAAAGAAGCAAACAGATAAAATTCTAAGGTATCCAGAACTATTTTCACTCCATCTATACTAACATATACTTTAAATAACATACATAGTCATACATATGTAATGCAGTTAATTCTTAAATTTGTAGTCACACAATTATGTTTCTGCTGATGTTTTAACATTAGTATTGCTTGAATCTCTTTTTTAACTTAATTACTTGCAAGATGAATATTATACTACAGTAATAAAATAAACATAATATCTTTCAATAAGTGAGGTAATAAAAGTAAGTTTAATGGCTTTCCAAAAGTTCATAAATTTTGTTTCTGAAATTTAGTGCAGTCTATCTTTGTTGGATTAATATTGATTTTATGTTGCTGTTTCCCTGGGGTTATTTATGTAAGCAATAAAGCCTTCAGAAGAATGAGCTATTACTCACCCAGGAGCTTCTTTACTCCTTGATGCTTCTGAATATTGCTGAGCTCCGTCTGGCAAGGTGGATCTGCAACAACATCAGAAATGTTACTTCAAGGATTGCAGTTAAACAAAGAATATGTACTTTTATATTGACATTTCCTGTATTATTTGATCCCATTCATATATGTAATGATGTTCCAATTCTTACCTAAAAATAGTTGACTGCATTTTTATTCATACTACAAAAACTTGCTGTTGCTGATACATAGACATTGTATTATAGAGTATAAAATATAATCACAAACAAGTTACTGTTGCTCATCACTGCATCTTTTTAGAGAAAATGTAAAATAAAATTGATTAAAATAATTTTTGAATTGTTCAATATGCCAATTCAAAATATTCAACTATTAAATGATGTGTGAGTAATTTAGAGTAGGATGAAGGAATAAGAAATGTGCCGACCATACATTTACTATTTAATATGTGAGATAAAAATATTTCACCATGTAGTATCTAAAATATGAAGAGGTCATTTGTTTAAGAATCATGAATAGTTAACTTATTGATCTATGTATGAATCTTTTATACTAAGTATTAAAGGAGTAGGTCTCCAGATGGATTGCATGAGTGTCTAAGTGAAAGTATAAAATTCTTGCTGCCTTCCAAATATATTTTAGACATGAAAGGAATGATTCTAGTTGGTTTTAACATGGTATTAAAATCATTTCTCTTTTCCCTGGGCTAGTTATTGCAGATTAGAAGTGACATAGTCAACTATCTGAAAATCCAGGTATTTTTGAGTCTCTCTCTCTCTCTCTCTTTTTTTTTTTTCTTTTTGTGGAACCGGGGATTGAACTCAGCCCCTTGTACTTGCCAGGCAAGCTCTTATTCTACTGAGCTATCTCCCCAGTCCCTGAATCTTATTTCTTAGGGTGATATATTTTTTCCTCTTTTTTAAAATGTATTTTTATTAATTTCAATTTTAAAATATTTGGTGTTTTGACTTTTTAAAAAATCATTTATACATTTATTTATTTATTTATTTAGTTGGTTAGTTAGTTAGTTAGTTAGTTAGTTAGTTAGTTAGTTATTTGGTACAGGGTCTTGCTACACAACTCAGACTCAGTGATCCTCTTGTCTCAGCCTTCCCAGTGCTGGGATAACAGGTGTGCACCACCATGTCCAGTTTCAGTGGCCAACTCCATGTGCCTAGAGTTCCAGGGCCAGCACAGCATGAGGTACAGGGGCTAGAACTCAGTTCCTTGCACTTGCCAGGCAGGCTTTTAGACAACTGAGCAATCTCTTCAGCCTTGTTTAGTGTTTTTAAATTTTTGTCTTCCAACACATATTGCACACAGATTCTATTTAACTACCATTCTGTTTTTAATTTTCCCAACATCAACTCTTTGAGTACTCAGTTTTTAAAGCATAAATAACATGAACATGTTCTGATCACAACACATGAATACAAAAACACAACAGTCATCATAACAAACAACGTTGTGTCTTTAATGAAATTGGCCTGCATTTGCTACCTTGTCATAATTTGTTATTTAATTCATTAATACTAAGATATAGTTTTAAAAAATTGTTTAATAACCTAGAAAGCATGTGTAATATAGCAAATATATATGTTTATGTGCATAAAATTCTTAACAAAAGAAATCTATTTTTGAAACTTTCATTAAGTTAATTTTATATAGGTTGTTGAACTACTCCAGTCATCGATCTACTAGTCATCCATTTATGGATAACCGTTTGATCTCTAATAGACTTTTGCTAAAACATAAATATAATTGGTGTAGAAACATATCCTATACAATGCGTTTGTGTTTCCACATCAAATATGAGATTCATCAATACAGGTTAAGTAGCTTGCTCATTGTTTTTGTTCATTCTCTTTGTTGTCCTAAATTTTAAAGAGCAATAGCAGTGTGAAAGGTAGATTACCTATTGAAAGAAGGGAGACTTTTCTCGAATAGAAAAGGGAACAAGAACTGGAGGGAGAGGAGGAAAAGGAATGGAGAAAAATGGAAAGAAAAAGGTGGATATAGAGCTTTTGCAAAAAGGAAAAGAAGCAAGAGCTTGAGGGAGCAGGGGAGATACAAGTCTTAGGGAAGGAGAAGGGAATTAATATGTGTTACGTGCATGTACCAGCTCACGACAGTATGCAATAGTCATGTACTAAAATCATGCACTTATAAAGAATGTTGGCAAAAAGTAATGAGTGTACCACATTCAACTAATTTCCAGTTTTTTCAAGTTAAATCAAAATCATATAGAGCACTGGTTCTTTAATTTCTCCAAACTTCACCATAATGTGAGTCTTTTAGATATATATCCCTATATATTTTAAATTATAAATATGCATATATTTACATTAGGAATTTACATTTCCAAATTTAAAAGGATCCATATAAAGACGTACCATTATTACAACTTTTTCCCTCACTTTTTTCAGAGTATTGAAAAATAACATGCACACATACAATAATAAATAGGAAAAATGAAATAAAGATAAAATTTGGTTATACAGAGACTGGCTCTCTGAACAGGTATGTTTTGAGTGATGTTTGTCCCAAAGGCACTCTACATTCCTCGTGAAAACCTCATTATAATTCACAATTTCTTTGCCAATGAATCCTTAAAAAGCTAAGCTATTTGAAAAGGTTGAAAGACTAAGTCATTTTAAGACAAAATTAATAAAAATAACTTTATGGCGAATGTTGTGGTTCATTCAGCTCATTTAATAAGATCACAAAATAGAACATTAAAACTCCACAGTGTAGTGATAAAAATCCCATTTATTTTACACCGTGGGCAAAGCAGATAGCAAATTAATTTTAATGATTACTTTTAATATCTATGTTCTCATATCTATGTGTGCTTCTTGGTGATTCATAATGGAAAATATAATGAAGTACATTAATATAAAATATTAATTACTATTTTCATTTTCTTTAGCACATTTGCATCTTTATCAGAGTTATTTGTTCAACAGGTTTCCAATTTACTCTTCTATGAAGCAGTCAAGTTAGTAAAATTCCCAAGAAGAATGAGACATAGCATAGTTTTTTCTTTTATCATAAAGGGATAGATAAGATTTGAAATATAGGTCAACTATTTGCAACTGTAGGTATCCCATCTTTTACCTTGCTGTCTCTGGAAGCAGTAGCACCATTCATTGTTGGATATCAAACTGTCCTTATATGTGTCACAAGAATTGAAGAATGCTTTGGTGCACTGTTCATTCTTATCAAGGTAAATGCTCCCGAGCTCTGATTGGTCCAGCAGTAGGTCATAGTTTGTATCAAGTCTATTAAACATCCAGCCAAGTGAATCCTTGCAAATTGGTAAAATGCTTGTGTCGAATCCTAATGGCAAGAGAGAAAATGATGAGCTAAATATGAAAGGAAAATAAAGTAACATACATGTAGTCAGTATAGACTTCCTGCTGGGTAGTCTGAGAAATAGGGCTTAATTTGTGTAAAAGTAAAGCACATATAGTAATATTTATTTTTTAGGATATTTAAGAAGAAAAATTAGCTAGAAATCATTCAGGTACTGATTAGTAACTCTTCTAACAGCTGTTTCTGTTATAATCACGTATTATTTACATTTTATTTTTTAATGTCTTTTTCTGAACAATCAGTATATATAATGATAAATCTCTCATTAGATTATTATATATTTTACTATGTTATCATTTGATAATAAATTCAAATAATGATGCTACTTTCACAAAGGCATAATTAACATATTGTATCCTGGGCCTGAGGAGATAGCTCAGTGGTCTAAGTGCTTGCCTGGCAAGCATAAGGAGCAAGGTTCAATCCCTGGTAACACATGCTGTGTCAGCCCCAAAACTTTGGGTGCACCATGCCAGCCACCTAAAATGAGTGTCGCATGCCTGTTATCCTAGTGCTGGAGAGGCTGAGGCAGGAGGATCCTGTGCAGGAGTCCAAGCTACATAATGAGACCCTGTATCAAATAAATATAAATACATAAATGATTGAAAAATAAAAATAAATGTCTCATATCCTGTGTCTTTGTGGAATTATGATGCTTGTGGTATTTCATTAAAAAAACATGTTGACCAGAGCAAGACTAAGTATTATAAATTATTCTTTATTATGCTATTCTGAAGGCAACTTTCACAATCACAAATATGCTACAGTGGGAGGCACTAAGATGCACTGGATGGGAGCAGCTCTAGGGAAATGACAACCAGGGTTTGCGTTGAAACTTCAGAACCCAACATGGGCGATTCTGGATCAGTCCCAGACAGTATGGAGCTCAGTATATGAATGGCATTGGATGGAATATCAGTGCTTTGAACAATTATAAAGTAGCTGAGAATAAAAAGAAGTACTTGGATCACCCAGAAGCCAAGAAATGTAAGTCCTTCCTTAACTGTGACAAATGCCTACTCTATAGGAGGTAGCATTCACTCAATTAATTTTCTTAACAAATCGCTAAAGCCTGAACATAGTATAGGGTCTCTCCACAGTACACAAAGATAAACCACAAAAAAAGAGAAACCATCCCCACTAACTTCCATATTCCTACAAGCTTCACTGAGTGCTCTCCGGAAGGACAAGAAAGGAAAAGAGAACCAAGCAGGTCATCAGAGGAGTAGAAGTCAATGTGGGAAGGGGGCAAGTGTCTTCTCTGTGGTTCATGGGGCAGAGCTACCCATGCCTACTGAAGAGCAGGATGTTGTGCCACTGTGGAGAAACAGGCAAGGGTCTGCTCTTCAGGGAGAAGGAAAAGGATTTTAAAAAGCACTGTCCCTGGGAATGATTGAAGAGAATATGCTGAATGTAGATCATTAGAGAATTCCTACTACGGGCAGATGTGTCAGATTGTAGAAAAAGAGAAGGAAAAGGAAGAAAAAGTTCAAGAAAAGTATCAAGGAATAGTATGGAAAAATTACAAAGTAATTGAAAAATTAAATTATATAAGGAGAAGAGAGAATGAAAGTGGGACACAGAAAATAGTTACTAGATTAACGAGAAATCTCCAAACTTAATGAAATGTATCAAACCACCAACGAGGATAATGAACCAACTGAAGACACAAAGAAGTGGAAGTTGGACACATTATAATCAAATTAATAAAAAAAATAATAGGAAGAAAAAAATTGAAGCACTGAGAAGCAAAACAGTTATTATTCTAGAAAAGGAATAGTTTGGACACGGCAAAAATAAAACTACAGAAGTAAGAATAGAATTATGACAAGAATTTCATGTTCGGAAGGAAAATAATTGTTAAAATTGTTTTAAAAAGAAAGATGAGATTGTTTTATGAAAGAAAAGCAAACTTCAGTCATGAAAACGTTTAAAAATTGAATTTCTGGATAGAATACATATACCGGGCAGAAATTTAGCTCTATTGAAAAATGCTGACACATATTACTAATAGTATCATTAAAGATATGATTTTAAGCTACTACTTCAAATGGCTTGAATGTTATTTAACATCTAATAAAAATTATCAATAACATAATCTTTGTTTATTGATTACACAAAGGCAAAACATTTATCAAAAAGCGCACAGAAGGGCCAGTGAGATAGCTCAGTGGACTCAGCACCTGGTTAAGCATGTTCAGAAACCGGAGTTTGGTCCCGGGCAGTACAAGCCACCCCAGGCATGCTGAGCTGGCCACTGAGACTGGGCTTTGTGGTGCACACCTGTAATCCCAGTTCTGGGGAGGCAGTAAAAACGTCTGAGCTGCATAGTGAGACCCTGTATCAAATACATTAAAAAAAAAAAAAAAAGAGCGCAGAACTTCAGAAAAATTGGGACTTAGGCAAAAATACTTAAAGGTCAAATTAATGTTTTGAATTTTTTAGAATCATAGGCCAACCATGAAGATACTTTTAAAACAGAAATAAGCTAAAGCACAGACAAGCATAAAATGTACTTTTTCCAAAATAAGGCATTGTAAGAGAGAAAAATGGCAGGGCTGGAATATCATAAATAAACAGAAAGTAGATTACAATTAAACTACTTCAATAATTTAATATAAATGATCTGAAAATATCAGGTGAAATTCAATAAGTGCAAGTTTGGATTAAAGAAAAGCAAAGAAAATTTTTTCTCAAGAAAAAAATCTTTTCAAAAAGAAAAATATATTTATGCAGAAATAAAAAGACTGGAATAGGTGTCATGAAAGAACTAATGAAAAGAAAGCTAGATAGAACTTATAAATAATAACTCTGACTTCAGAATAACAAAAGTAGATGATATGAAGCAATACATAATGATAAAATATTTAATAAGCTGTGTCTGTGAATACATTATGTGTCTAAAATAAGTCTCAATATACCTAACAGGAAAAAAATCTAAAGAAACCAAATGGAGGAACAGGCAAACCTTAATTTCATTTAAATATTTCAGCACCTTTTCATCAACAAAGAATACAAGTAGGTGAACATTAACAGTATAGAAGAACAACATTATCATTAATCAATAGGTTGACATAATTTATATTGATAGAAAAGTTCAACAACTAATGATAATCAAAGTTTCGTTCAGGAGCATATGAAGCATTCCAGGTCATAAAATAAACCTTAACAATTTAAAAGAACTGAAATCATCTAAAGTATTCTATAAGGAAAAGAAAAATTACTATAGTAGATGGCATTAACAGTAAGAAAAATATATATACATATATAATCTCCAGCCCTGCTGAAAGTAACATGGGTTCATGAGTTGAGTGATTGCAAAGACATATTTTAAGTAAAACATAATTTGTCAACCAATTATCATTTGCCACTATATTGACAAATTACGGACAGCATTAGAAAATAACATATGTAGTTGGGAAAAATAAAAATATAAATAAAAAATGGCTGAAGATTGAGACTTGCTGCAAGTCTTGAAAGCCAATCCTCAATAGCAAAATAAAGTTAATGCAGGTATATACAGATTATAAAAATATAGGTATGAAAAATATGAGTGATGATTGGAAAGTTACATGTATTAGGCTGCTAACAGTTTTTATCTCTTTATCGAGGGAAGTGGAGGGAGTCTGTGCAAGGGTACTAACTCTCCTCATATACTTTTACATATTGTTTTAAAAATAAGCATCTAATTATTTTACAATTAACATGTGTATTATGAGAAAATTAAAAATCAAGATATACTAAGTTAAATATATTTTCTTCCCATGATATTTTGAAAATAATACTCGTTAGTGTCTCAAAGGATTCATCATAGAATTAATTGCTTTTTTATTGGCTAGCATATGGTTCAAGGATGGCAAGAGCATGCAGCCAGCCTCTCACTTGCCTATTACATAACCCATAATTGTGCTTTTGACTTATTTTATTTCCTTTTTATTTACACTTTTCCTCCGTCTTTAGCTACTAGCTCTCGTTGGTTTCAAGACACCTATTACACAAATGCGCAAGGATTTTTCAAATGAATAATTTGAATTAGGCAAAAATTTAATAATCATGCATATGTTCCAACTGACAAAAGGTATGAAGCATATGATTGCAATGTGAAGTTCTTCTGTGCACGTTTGTTACTTTTTAGTGGGGTGAGTTGTTTCATGTTGGTTTGCTAGGCTCAGATGGCTACTCAGTGTGCTCTTAACATACTGCCTCCCTATGTTTTGAAAACAAGGAATTCTTTTTATTAAAAACAGATTGTAAAAAAATCAGGGAGAAACAGATATTACTCATTTAGTGACCTGTTTAACAATTATTCAGATTTATGACTGAAGCCTGCTGTATGGTCTTATGATCCACCGCTTGGATATACATCCTATTTTTTGTAGTGTTGTGCATCCTTTTTATTTATGTATATATTTAGTACAGGGTCTACAGTGTCTACAGGATCTCACCACACAGATCGGACTCATAGTGATTCTCCTGTTTTCAGCCTACCAAGCGCTGGGATTATAGGCGCGCGCCACCACGCTCAGGCTCAATCGCTCTCTCAGCATGGCCCAGGCGTGTGGCCGGCACCGCACGCTGGAAATCAAACCCCAGTCCCTGTGCCTGCTTAGGGAGGTGATTTAATCAGTTGAGCTATCTGGCCAGCCCTTTTGCACCTTTCTGATTGAGCCTCATCTTTTTTTTTTTACAATGCATCTTGTTTATACACTACTTACTGTATAGTACTATAGCTTTATGTTCTGTTACACATTACCATACTATATATGAGACATGCAAATGAAAAAAAGCCATCAACTTGGAGTTTCTCCTTTGAACACTTCTTTGTTCTGAATCCCGTAATGTATGTACTGTGTAAAACTCTTCGTTTAGTCACCATTTCGTTGAATGACTTAGTCATAGGAACTCAGTCACGAAGCGAAGGGCATTGTAGGCTGCTGTGTTTTCAGCACATTCAGTAAAAAGAT